TGCATGACTGTCCCCTCGGGTGGCTTGTACCACCTCTCAGGGGGTCTTTGATTAAAGTAATGCAAAGAAAGGCATTGATTTAGCAGACCAGATGTCATCATAATACAGTTCCTTAAGGAAAACATTAAAATGGTATAAAAAATTATAATTCAGCTGATTTGTGTGGTACAGCAGTTGTAAATGAATATTATATACCCTAGCAATGGGGTATTGTAAGATTTCTATGTTAAAATTTAGAGAATTAATTATTGATAAATGATCCATGAATATACATAAATTTCTTTTACATTTAATAAAATAAACTTGTTGATTATTATAATTTTTGATTGGTATGCATATTAATTAATATTCATATTTGGGCAGTAATTATTCAAATTCAAGAAACTAACTAGATATGGTCCACTTATGCCCTTTTTATTAGTAAAAAGGCCGACAAAGGTGACCAGATCTGTTTATAACATCAGTGGTTCAAAACGGTGGGAACATGTTTAACATATCATACACTTACATAGAGTGCCTAAATATCTCTAACTGCTTACTCCTAGACAAGTAAAAGTTGTCCCTCAGTATCCATGGAAGATTGAGTCCATGACATCCTACCACACCAAAATCCATGATGCTCAACTCCCTTATATAAATCAGTAGAGTATTTCCATATACTCTGCAAACATCCTCTAGACTTTAAATTATAATACCTGGTATAAATTAAATGTTACATTAATAGTTATTAAATTGTGTTGTTTACGGAATAATTACAAGAAAAAAGAAGTTTGTATGTCTCAGTACATACTTAGTACGTTGCAGACCTAACTACATTTTGATCTGCAGTTGGTTGAATCTGTGGATGTGGATCTCATAGATTAGAAGGGCTGACTACACTTCTCTCTGACCCTTTGTTTTTTCATCTATAACATGAGCAGTTCCTCTCTCAGGTCCTTTTCAGTCCTAATGCCTTTTGGCTTGGTTGAGTACTATTTATATCCCACCCCTTGCCTGGTCACTAATTCATGACTTGGGACAAATCATTTTTCTTCATGGAGCCCTTGAGACATGTTTAGACTTACAAAGAAGTAGCATGTGATGTTTAAGGGGGAACAAAAGAACCAGTTTCTCTACCAGAGTGGGATGGACAGTACCAACCCAAGCAGAGCCCCTGGTGATGTCCAGCCAAACTCCTCTGGAAAATTTTAAGAAATCTTTGGAAAATCTCAAGGTTAGAGAGATCATTCAGGAATAATAACAACATTCTATGGCATTTTTATGATTACAAATCTGCCTGAGTTCATATCTCCTCTCTAACACCTCTAGTTATGTGTTGTTGGGTAAATTATTCAATCTCTATGCCTCAGTTCCCTCAACTATAAGACAGGGATGATAATAACATGGCCAACCTCAAATGTGAAGAACAAATATAAGCACTTGGACCAGTACTTGGCACACAACAGTGGCTCAGCAAATTATGAGTTGTTGCTGTTACTATTACTAAGCATTTTCAGATGATCAACTTCACTGATATTCATTTTACTACTAGACACAATTCTAATGCTTCCAATATTTATAACACACAAAGATTAAGACCAAAGGTTGGCTGTCCAAACCCAGGTTGTCTTTATAATAATAGGTCAGTAATCCATTCCAGGCAGAAAATGACTCTTGGTTCAGCACTTAATGTAGAAGGGGAAACATGGCTCCCTTGGGATGGGTAGCAGGGTGGGTTGAACTACAGAGAATACAATTAATCAAGTTGCTAAGAGACTTAAGTAATCATCAAGGTCAACTCCCTTAGGTTTTACTGATGGGGAAACTTGAGGCCAGAAGGGTGAAGTGGCTTGCACAAGTCCCACAGTGGTAGTCGGGCTGGAACTAGGGCTCAGGACTCCTGTCCTAATACCATCCAGGATTGGTTCTCCACTCACCGCTGGTAGGTAATGGGAGAGGCATGACCATTAGCTCCATTGCTTTCTGAGAAGAGGTCAGCAAAAGGGCTGAGAGAGTAAGGGGTGATGGGACCCTCAGGACTAATCAGAGCCCCTGCCATCCTTCCTCGAGGCCAACAGAAATGACAGTGGAAACACTCACAGACATCTTCATGGGCCTGTACTTGTCCTAAAGGTGATTATATTTGGAATGAGTTATTAAGCTGATGTGGAATGGAAATGTGAGCCAGTAGCCAAGATACCTGTGTTCCAATTCCAAGTTCAGCTTAAAAGCGCCACCTTCCCATTTCACTGAAGGCTCCTTGAGAATTCCCTCTCTGGTTCCCGCAGTACTTACTGTCTGGAGCTCCAGTGGTGCAATCAGTTAGTGCGTGGTACTTATATAACAGTACTTACTGTCTCAATCACCGTTGGGCACATCACATACCTCGCTGTATTGCTACACAACCTCTACCGACCCTTGTCTCCTAAAGGCACTTTAAATGCTTTCAGTAGAGGAAGAGAGGCTTAAGCTGTCTGGACTCCCCACAGTTCCAGGGTGTCGGATCATTATAGAAGTGTTATAGCAAAGGGAATCCTCTCGCAAAAGATTAGACGTCTTGTTTGACCAGTCACCTCCTTTTGTATAGGAAGCTAAGGCTAGGCATGGCACTGTCCCAGCAGTCAGAACTGGTTTAATGAAATTGCAGACAAAATAGTATGAGAAATAAGTCAAGAAGAAGAAAAGACACTTGTTTATGGGAAGGTGGAAAAAAAAACCTGTCACAAGTAGTGATGTCGCTAGAGAGAAAATGGTGTATGTACTGATCAAGAAAGAAAATCCTAAAATAAGCTTTTTTCCCCACCTCAGGAAACCTTGGAATCCATGCAATCATAGGTGAATTACAGGAGCCTCACCTGCAGAGGGGAGGGGGCACTTATATCAGTACACTTGTTGGCATAAGGTAGTTGTTGTGTTAACAGCTTTTTCCATTTCTTTATATTTTTTATTTTGCTTTATTCCACTAGTTGCAGTAAGCATATTTGAGAAAAGTTGAACCTTCTTATTCTGAGGATAATAGATAATAAAGGATATTTTATATAGACCATATCAAAGTTGAACACCTGGAAGTAAGATGGCTTCAGCTATGTAATTATCTAACTATATACGTGCCTGTGAGCAATTGTGTGTGTACGTATCCTTTAAAATGGAGTAAAACAATCAACTATTGAAATGTGCATGGTGCATTACACAGAGAGACACATATGCATCTATGTGTGCACATAGATGCAGATCATCATTTTCAACTGCCTTCTGTAATAAGTTGGCATATGATATATCCTTAAATAGAATAATGGAGTTATATATTTCTATAAGTTTATATAACCTATTCTATAAATAGGTCATATAAATAACCTATTTCTATTTGGCGTCTAAGATAAATTGCACATATGTGTGTATAGATAACATGTGCACATGAGATACTTATGGTTAGAAATATATATGACTAAATATACACAAAATTTCTTATTTTCATCTAGAATCCAGAAAAACCCTAAAATTTCTTATCCTGTCAACTGCAGTATGTAATAAGTACATGTACATTAAGAGAAAATGTTGCTTTTCTAATTCTCTTTAAGAAAATCTTTAAGTCACATGGACTGAAATAAGTTCATCTTCCTTACTGGAGAATCAATACCTTCAATCTTTATCTTTTAAAGCAGTATCAAATCTGATGGATCCTACTCTATGTGATTTCATGGAGTCCGTGATTATGTCTTTCATTGGAATCAGACCCTTCATCTGAGGGCAGCAAGACAGAATAGACTCAGATTTTGCAGAGGATGTGGAAGAGGTGCTCTGGGTTCCTGGAGGTGTGAAATCAGCTTTGGCAGCATTTCCATCCTAAACCATGGACTGGCATGTTACTTCCCTCCAACATATGGAGCTGGCTATCAGGAGAAGGGGAGCACAAGAAGCTGCTCAGACATGGAGTTCAGAGTGGAGGGAAAGGGCCAGGTACTCACCACACACTATCACTGCCCTTGTCCAGTGGGTTTCCCATGGGGTCGTAGTAGACATCCACACTGAGGTTTCGGTCTGTGTCATGAGCGGAGTTGAAGTTGGTGATCACCCGGGAGGGAATCCCCAAGCAGCGCAGCACTGCAAGTGAAGGTCAGTGTGAGCACTCAGGCTGTGGCGGAGGTGGCACCGTGGCACACCCTGTTGGTGTCCACTGCCCCAGCAAAGGTACGTCACACCCCAGGTACCTGTGTTGAGTGTCCCAGCAAAGACCCAGCACTGGCCAAATCGGACTGGCCTGAAGCCAGATTTTTTCCACTCCTTGAGGATCTCCACACTGCCATTCCAGTTCCTTGGGTCCAGGCCACCTGTGTAACTGCCACTCCAATTCCCAGCGATCACACCGTTGTCGTCATTGCTATTGATCTGGGCAGAAATCCACCCCCCCCAATAAATTAGCACCATGCTTTTTCAATGAGGTGGAGAGATGAGGAAGGAAGATTTTTCTATATCTTTCTAAGTGACTTGGGGATGATAACTATAATAATAGTTCCTTAGGGGTATTGAGTGGTTTATGAGTTTAGAGGTGCTTTGCCTAACAAGCTAGGTTTGATTGCCTTTGATCCATTTATCAATCTCTTGCTACAGGCTGACATGGAAAACAGAGACTCCACAGTGTGTCAGTGGCAAGGCAGGGTCAGAAATCCATGTGGCAGGGGAGTTCTTAAAAGAAAGAACTCAGGGGCTATCATAGATGTCTGTCTGCTTGGGGGTTTGTGATTTGAAAATCCTTTTTGTGTATGGTTGTTTTAAAAAGACCATTTTAGAACTTAAGCAGATAACTTCTTGGAAAGAATAAAAATGGAACATTGCAATTAATTAATTCACTCACTCATTCATCCTTTGTTCATGGCATCATTTAACTTAGGATATAGTTCTAATATAAAGAACCATGATGCAGTGTGAAAACAGTGCTGGCTTAGGACTCAAGAGACCTGAGTTCTACTACCTTTTAGAGACACATAGAAGTATGAGTGAAATGATGTCAAAGGATGCAGTCTGGGATTTATCCAATGATCTGTGGAGGAGAAGGTAAGAGATGAAATAAGATCAGCCTTGAGGAGGCCACTGCTGAAGTTGGTGGTGAGGACCCAGGAATTCACTGTATTTTTCTCTTTCCTTTTGTGTAGACCTAAATTTTTTCATAATAAAAAATTGAAAGAGAGGGAAGAAGAAACCCAGGTATAAGCATTGCCTTTGCTCTTGTCAGCTTGGTGATTGTGAGCAAGTCAATTTTTTTCCTCTAGGTCTTAAGTCTTCCTTACAACACAGGGAAAGTGAGAAAGAATTGAGCTCAAGGGCAGTGAAGTTTTCAGTTTATGAAACTCTGTCATTTATCCCAATTGCACCGTGAGAAGCAGAACCAGGACCTCCAAGGGCTGCCCTGGCCTGTGAGTCTCATCCCTTTGGGGTGGCTCTAAATGGTGAGGCCTGTGAGAATGGGCAGTCTGAATAGGCTGGGCCCACTCTACTCCAGCCCCTGGGTCCACTGGGGAGCTATGCACCCCTTCCAGGATGCCTGGGCTGGAATCCTGGGAGCGGGCAAGATGGTGCCTTCCTCTGAAGACTTAATCATCAGGATTATCTCTGGCTGAAAGCTGAGCATTTCAATGCTGCATGGGCCATAATTAGCTACGGGCCCAGCCCAGGGAGGTCTGGAGAGAGCATCAGAGAGGTGCACGGAGGAAATTGGCTCCAAGATAAAGTGGTTTGTGCCCAGGCTGAGAGTGAGTCAGCAGTACAGGAGCAGCTGCTTCACCCACTCTCTCCTGGGTGGAGGAAGCTCAGTTTCCCACGTGGCCCTGAACACCAGCTTTGTCTAACCTCTGCCTCAGTTTAATGCCTCTTTTTCCTCAAAACTTAGTTTTCAAAGCCTAGTCCGAATCCTCTTTTTTGTCCCCTTTCCTGGCTGCTCTGGTCTTCAGTGATCTCAGGAACCCCAAAGTCTCTGGGCCCACCCCATTCCTCTCCTGTACAGCTCAGTTTCAGACTCAATTTTCTCAAAAAGCCCTCTGATGAACCTCAGATATTTATCATGCAGATGAATGTTGTTGGAATTTTTATCCAAGTAACTAGCTTGTTAGCTTGGAAATTATACATTTCAAAGTAAAGAGACCAAGACATGCCTAAACCATGACCCAAAAGAAAATGGAGTTAAAGATATTTCTGGGTACTTATTTAGAGTTCAAGGAAGTTAAAAGGGGGAGACTTGCTTTGACTTTCAGCTTTCAACTTGTAACTTTTGAGCAAATTGATCTTCTGGTCACTTTTTGGTGAGGGCACTCTCTACACACTGAGTGCAAAGCCATAGACTCCTCTGATATCTAGCGTGTGTGTGTGTGTGTGTGTGTGTGTGTGTGTGTGTCCTGGGGCAGGCCAGGTCTCTCATGTAGGAATCCAGGTGAGCTAGTCACAAGTCACGTTTGCTTATTTCCCTGTCTGCATAAGGAACAGGATGCCTGTTGCCTTCCTATCCTGACATTTCAGTGCTCTGTGCTGCAGAGGAGCTGGACTACAGCACAAAAAGTTAACGCTTCAGGCTCACTAGGGGATGTGTCCTCCTTCTCAGGAGGCCCCACGATAACAGAGTCCTCACTTTGCATCCCTCTTCGCTCATATCCCATCCCTGGTGGTCACCCACAAGGTGAGTTCTCTTCTCATCTGAGAAGAGCTTCACTGTACAGCAGAGAGGGCTTTGAAGCCTACCAGACCTGGGTTTAGTTCTGCCTCTACCTGCCACCCACTCTGTGGCAGAGTGTCTTGGGGAAGCCCTTGAACTTAGAGAATTCTCCTGTTCTGCATTGGCAAAATGGAATGGTCATAGCCACCAACTATATTTGGTGAGGTTCCCTTGAGATGACATTGTAGATTGCATGTAGCTAACATGGAGTTGGTGCTCATCACATGGTAACAACATGTCATTATCCTTTTCCTATCACTCACCATGGCACTCAGCACCCGGCCAACATATTTGGGGTCGTTTCTGCGGGCCACGTCAGTACCAGGGTCACGTCGGAAATTCAGACTCTTATCCAAGATGGAGAGGCTGATATTCAGAATGTCTTCTTCATACTGTTCAGAATGGGACCATATGTTATGATGAAAGAAATGATAGTTAGTATCAGCTAATTAAGGGAATAGGAGTCACAATGGTGAGAACCACAGGACCTGTTAGGATCTTTCACTCTGTGACCTCCAGAACTGAGAGCTCCTGGGGAAGAGCCACTGTGCCCAGCCTTTAGCCTGAAAACTCATCCTGAGTCCTCACTGTCCATGAGACCCTGTAGTCACTCTCTCAAAATGAGCAAGGGAGGAGGGCTCAGTTCACTCCCTTGCTGCCACAGACCTAGATTTGGGAGCAAGTTGCATGGCCTGCCTGGCTTTGATTTCTCTATCTGCATAATGAAGGGGTAGGCCAACCTCACCTCAAAGTCTCTATCTCTGATTGTGGTCTTGAGCATATCATTTAGACTCCTGGGAAAGTGGTACTCAAGGTAAAATATGTCACTAAGAAACATATCTGAAGACATTTTCACAAAATGAGACTTATGATAAGTAATTGTTTCTTACACTGGCTCTTTCTGCCTTAAATTCTTTACATTTGGTATCCCTTCTGTCTGGAGTCCTCTTCTCCAAACTAGCTATCAGACTTCCTTGCCTCCTTCTGGTACTTGATTAAAAGCTTCTTCTCAAACCATGTCATGCCTCTCTTCATCTGCTAGATGCACTTTATGCCCTTGCCTGTCTTTTCCTTTTATTCCTTCCAATGAAATTGGTTACAAAACCTCACACAGAGAAGACATAGCAGACTGACTTTGGTGGACTGTAGAATGGGGCCTGGGATGGGTGGAGCATGTTCTTGTTTGTGCCTTCCTGGACATCTCAGGAACCCCATCCTTCATTCCAATACCTTTATTTATCTTCTGGGAAAAAAAAGGAAAAGGTGGAAAGACATCCCTGAAGGTTTCTGAGCTGAGCAAATCTGGGAATTCTCTGGACTCAGATGTAGATCAAGGTAGATACAGGACAAAGAGGCCATGGTTTTGAAAAGCCAAGTGCACACAGCAGAGACATTTGATCACATTTTTTACAATGAATAACAGAAGCTATGTTATTGTCCAGAGGATCTTTCCTGGGCCTTGTACTTATTTGTGTATCAGGGCACCAGTAGTATTTTATTGCATTGATAGAGTTACATGTCTGTCTCGCTCACTGGATTGTGACCCCCTGAAAGCAGAAGATCTTGTTCATTTCCTATTCCTTTAGGGTACAGCTTGGGATCTTGTACATAGTAAGTGGTCAGTAAATGTCTTCTGAATGAATTAATTACAAATGGACAGACACAGGGGTGATCTGTGGGGCAAGCTGCTGAGCTTCCTGCATAAGAGTTAATACCCTTAGCCTCTTTATGACTCTTTTACCTGTCCAAAGTTCCAGCCAACCATGCCAATTCGATTTGTGCTGCCCACGAAGATGATGCCAGAATCTTCCTCAACATATTCTTGTCTCTCAGCCTGGTTACTCATAAAAACATCATCCGCTGTTTGACACAAAGAGTAAATACCAGGGACTAGAATCCCACAGAAAACTAACCAGATTGGTCCTCCTGCCTACTCCTAGTGTGGGATTGGAACAAGCCCGCCTTTGGGCCATCTCCAACCTCCACCAGGGAATGAAGATGTAGACTTTAATGCTTCCAACTCTCATAGTGGGAAATATGGATTGGGAAGAGAAGCTAGGCTGTTGTAGGGGACTACAAATGAGACCTCAGGAATCAGACACTAGCTCTTTCAGGCAAGAAGCTACAATACTGAAGAACTGTACAGTAGTCATTGTCCCTTCTAATTAAGCATGTTCTGAAGAGTGTAAAAGCTCATGGATATCCATTTGAACCCCAGAGGAAACAACAGAAACAACGTTTATAGGGAAGAATTTGAGGATCAGAAAGATGACTATTTAGATGCACACAGCTAGTTAGTGGTAGAACTGACCTGTAGCTTCTCTGATATTTCCGTGGTCCACAGACTTCCTCCTATCAAACCTAAGTCTGTGTACAGCATTTTCCCATCTTCTTTCCATGCTCACTGCTTAGATCAGGGCTGGTAATGTGGGTGGTTAGAGACCTACCTTGTAGCCAGGGATTAAAGAGCAGCACGAATGTCCCAAGTTTCACAGAGGAGACTCTGCCCTTGGAGGAGATCTGAAGGCTCAGTGTGTACCTTCCGATGGGGGCACTGGCAGGACTGTAAATGGCAATGGTCAGAGCATTGCCATTATTTTCCATGACCTCTGCAGCCCAGCTGCCACCTGTGCTTCTGCCACTGGCGACTGGAAATGTGGCCTTTGTCCTGGCTGACTCTGAGGGGTTAGGACCTGCAGGAAACCAAGGAATGCTGGTCAGACCACAGGGACAGAATAGGCTCCCATACCCCTGCAGGGGCTCTCTGGGACACCTCATCCAGTGAAGCACCTCGTTATAAAGCTAGAGGTAGCTGGAGAGGCCTCAGGCTCAGAGATGGGAAGCCACTTTCCCAAGGTCACACTGAATCCATGGCAGAGCTGGGCTTGAACCTAGGGCCTGATGACCTAGTTGCCATCCTCCTTGGGTGCAAAGTACCAAAGGCTACTCAGGTGGTTGTCTGTGTGATAGGGGAGGTGAGCAAGTACCTGTTTCAGCTGTGAGATTCAGACCTTCTTCAGAGTTAAGAGCACGGTTAAAGAACGCTACTATATTACATGACTGGCCTCTGCGCAAGATGACCTCCCGGGAGGAGAACTGTCCTGTGTGATGTGCACGCCGGTTGTCGGCCACTTGCCAGTCGACATTCTGGAGCTCTAAAGCTGTGACACAGAAAGCAGAGCCTGAAGTCCTGGGAGACAGGGGGTGGGGGGATGAGTACAAGATACCAAAAAGTCAGGTATGGGTGAGCTATGCCAGCAGAGCCCAACTTTTGGAAGGAATCATAATAAAACCTAAAGACTTTTGATCCTATGTAGCAAGAACATCACAATTTATTCCCTTTCAACCTTTCCAGATGCAGATTCCCTAAGTCACATGCCTCAAGATAACAGAAATGCCCTGAGACTCTCCCCCACCCCTCCCCCTCGTCCTTTCTTCTCTGGGATCTCCCTATACAGCCCAGGCTGTCCTTGAATTTGGGATCCTCCCGCCTCAGCCTTCCAAGTCACTGGGATTGCAGTCTTGCACCAGCACATCTGGCTCAGTGGAAGCTCTCCACATACTGTTCTCTCTGCTGGCAGGGTCTTTTAACTCTACAGAGTAAGCATGGCCTCGGGGAATGACACTCAAGGAAGCTTCTCTCAGCCAGCCAGGACTGTCACTAGAGCACCTTGTCCTATCTGCTGTCGGTATTTATCATTGCTTTGTGGACCGAGGCTGTGACAGAACTGAGGAGGAGGACATGTCAAATTCATCAGCTGTGGACTGGGGATTTAGCTCAGTGGTTTTGCAATCTGCCTCGAAAGCCCAAGGTCCTGAGTTCGATCCCTGGTACCAAAAAAAAAAAAGTTCATTAGCTGGGCTCATTTTTTTGTCCATCATAGAAGATCCTGAGGAGAAACGCCTTGAAACTCACCCTCTTCTTCCCATGTGATTGTGGAGGTGACCGAGCTAAACTGCCCAGAGTTCATGAGCTACCATGATGCACGAGGAGTTTGGCTCAGATAACTGTTGAGAAATCTATTCCTTTGAGTTATGTTTGTGATATTATGTCACCTACTCCTCTGCAAACCAAACTAGTCTCTGTCATCACTATGAGGTCACAAGTACAATGGATGTGATGCATGTGCGGGGTCAGGCACCATTCTATTTTGTGTCCATCTCTCCATCAGGCTGTGCCTTCCTGACCTTTGTTCTGATGCCTAGCATGTTGCTTGTATTAGATAACCAGATACATAAATGAAGGAATGCATGAACAAAGAAAGAAAAAACCTTACTACAGTCAAGTCTAAGTGATAATGGATGACAGACTAGGGTGAATCCAACCCACCCAGTTGAGAGACACAGGGAGGAGAAAATCACTCCCTCCAAAAGGTGTAGGGGTCCAAAAGGCTCCTCTGAAATCCTGGGCCTTAAAAAGAAGACATACAAATGGCTAACAGTTACATGAAAAAATATTCAAAAGACAAAAGGCAATGAATAGTGATCAGGAGGCAAGGGAAAGAGGAGCCCTTGGACACTGTTGGTGGAAATGTAAATTAGTACAGCCACTGTAGAAAACAAGATGGAAGTTCCTCAAAAAATTAAAATTGACCCAGATATTATGGCCTATACCTGTAATCCCAGCAGATTGGGAAGCTGAGTTTGGAGGACTGCAAGTTAGAAGTCAACCTTGGCAATTTAGTGAGTCTCTGTTTCAAAAATAAAAAAATAAGAAAGAACTGGTTATATAGCTCAATGTAAAGACCCTGGGTTCAATTCCCCAGCACTGCAAAAAAGAAAAGGAAAAAGAAAAAGAAAAAATTAAAATTAGAACTACCACACAATCCAGAAATCCACTACTGGGTATAAGTTCAATGGAAATGAAATTGGTATGTCCAAGAGACATTTACATTCCTGTTTACTGAAACACTATTTGCAATAGCCAAGAAATGGAAACAATCAAAGCATACATCAGCTAATGAATAGATGAAGAAAATGTGATATTGTTCCAATATGCAATGATATACTACTCTGCCATAAAATGAATGAAATCCTGTCTCTTGTGACGACATAGAGGGAACTGGAGATCATTATGTTAAGTGAAATAAGGCAGACACAGAAAGACAAATACTGTATGACCTCACTCAAGTGGAATATGAAAAAGTTGACTTCATTGAAGTTGAGAGTAGATTTGTGGTTATCAGATTTGAGGGGAGGAGGGACAGATAAGAAATGTTGATCAATGGGTTTTAAATTATAGTTAGATAAGAGGAAGAAATCCTTTGAAGCTGGGTATAGTGGCACACACCTATATGGCCACCCATCTGGGAGGCTAAGGTAGGAGGGCTGCAAGTCTGAACCTAGTCTGGGCAACTTTAGACCCTGCCTCAAAATAAAAAATTTTAAAAAGGCTGGAGATGTTAGCTCTGTGTCAAAGCCCTGGGTTTGCTTCCGCAGTAACCATCCCCTGCTCTCCCAAAAGAAGTTCCTTGAATGTTTTCGCTATGAAGAGTTGATAAATGTTTGAGGAGATAGATATGTTTAACTTGATTTAAATATTACACAATGTTTGCATGTATCAGAATATCGCATAGTATCCCATAAATATGTGCAATTTTAATGTTTTTATTTATCAACTAAACAACACATTTAAATTGAAAAAGAAGGAAGGACACCCTGGGCCATGAAAGAACATTTTGTCAGGTGCCAAGAGGGTGGCTGTGTTCCACCAGGAAGGAGAGGCCCTGAAGGCCCAGCAGAGTGAGGTGTGCTATTTGGCTAGACCAGAGGCCTGGCAGGAAGGAGAGCAGATTGAGGGGCAGGATCAAGCAGAGGGTCAGGGTGGACTAGGAGGGGCTCCCCTTGAAGCAGCTAAGGAGACCAGGCAGAAGCTCTCTTTGGAAAGGGGGCTCAACAGGTGATTGGACCACCAGTTCAGGGAACTACGGACACATTTATTCATGCATCCTCTCACTCATATATTCATTCATTCAATAAATATTTATTGAAGGAAATATCAGTACATTGTTGTATAACTTCAGGAAAATGAAAACATTCATAAATCAACAAAAATCTATGAACTGCTGAGAAAAGGGAAGACAAGAGGAACAGAGGGAGGGAGACAAGATGAGTGTTCCTGTAGACAGGGGTCCAATGGAGCCAGCTCACATCCGACACTGTCTAGCACATGCTGAGATCCAGTTGGCTAGTAGACAGCCAGGCTACTGGGTGCTGTGTCTCTCTAGGACCCCTGTTTTTTTAACCCATGCCCCTGCCTTCTGTGCATCCCAATGGCTGAGATTTGGTAGAGCTTTACTGTTGGTCTTGTTTTAGAACAAAGAATGGCGCTGTGGAACATAATTTTTATCCTCTTTCCAAACCTAACGGGATACGTATCCTTCTCCTGGGGAGGCTGGCTCTTTTAAAACACAAGGCCTTTGACAGCATAAAGTGTGCCTTCAGTTGGTCCTCAGCCCAGAAAATGGGGGAGGAAAGGGAGTAGGAGGAACTCTGTGTTTACAGCTGGCACCCTGTTTCTCCTCCAAAGGGCCCTTGCCCTTCTTGGTGCTACCAAAGGTTGTGCATTCTTTGCTGTGGCTATGATGGGTAGCAGAGGACTCCTCCATTCATCCCAGAGATCAATGGCTTATCCTTCAGAATAATGGCCAAGAAGAGCCTGAGCTCCAGCATGCCTAGGGCGCGGAGACACTGTCCCTTCCACAATGGACAACCAGCAGAAGGGAGACAGGTGTACTTTGCATGATCTGCTAGGTTAGACCTGGAGTGATTGTGGTGGCGATGATGAGAGCATTGGTTGATGTTTACTGAGCATCTGTGTGCCAGTTACCATCTTATTAAGCCTGTGAGTTGGGGATGTGTAATCCTCTGTTTTACAAAAGAGGAAGCCAAGGTGTGGAGAAGCCTGAGTCCTGGTCGCCTGCTCCTTAAAGGAGGACTGCAGCCATGCAGCCTGACTCTGGCCCTAGAGCTCATGTTCTCTGTCTTTGCAGTCCAGATACCAGGCATGAGAGTCAGTGGCATGGAGCCCCTTTCCCCATGAGGTGTTGTGGGATATTCATGGCTTCTCTGAGTTGGAGGGGGAGGGTAAGGAGGTCTCTCATTTGTCATCACCCTGTAGAGTGTCAACTACAATTGACAATATGAAGAATAGTCTATATTCATCATTGATGAAATCTCACAACTGGAAATTGAGGCTCAGACTGACAAAGGATTTTATCTGGGGTCCTATACCTAGGAGCTGGCAGGGCTAGGACTCTGAATCCAGGTGTGACACCATAAGAAATACGTTTCTGGTCTCCGCCTGAAAAGACCTAGAACACAGCTCCTAAAACCCTTGGAATCTTAGAAATGATGAGTACCCTTTTATGCTAATGAGATGAGTGATGGCTCACAGGGCAACCATATAATTAGAGGGCTGAAACTGTCATCCCGAGGCCCCTCAGCAACCAGGGAAGGGAGAGGGATTGGAGACGAACTTCATCACCAATGAGCAGTGATTCAATCCATCATGCTTATGTGATGAATCCTCCATAAAGACCCCAAAGGTTGGGTTTCCATGTGGTGAAACACAGAGGGCTGGGAGGGTATACCTTGTCCTATCATCTCTTCTACCTGGCTCTTAGTCTTTTATAACGAAGTGGTGCTCTAGTTAGCAGACTGCTTTCTTGAGTTGTAAGGAATTCTGGCAAATCTTCAAACCTTAGGCATTTGATAGCCAGTCAGTCAGAAGTATAGGTAATGATCTGGCTTCTTCTTTCTCTCTCTTTTCTTTTCTTTTCTTCCTCCCTCCCTCCTTCCTTCCTTCCTTCCTTCCTTCCTTCCTTCCTTCCTTCCTTCCTTTCTTTCTTTCTTTCTTTCTTTCTTTCTTTCTTTCTTTCTTTCTTTCTTTCTTCTTTCTTTCTTTTTTTTTGTATTAGGGATTGAGTCTGGGGCCTTCCAACTGAGTTAAATCCTCAGACCTTGTGTTAAAAACAGATTTTTTTTGAGGCAGTGTCTCATTAGGTCTCTATTGCCCAGGCTGGGCTTGTGCTTGCAATCCTCCTGGCTTAGCTTTCCAGATTGCTAAGATTACAAGCAGGTGCCACCATCTCTGGCTATAACCTGCACTTCTGATTGGCATGTGAAATGAGGGGTGTCTTGTGGGGCTGAGCCCTTAACC